AGCAAGAGAAGGAACACAAGCAGGGGGAGTGGGAGAGGGAGAAGCAGGCTTCCCATGGAGCAGGGAGACCGATGTGGGGCTCGATCCCAGGACCCTGGGATCATGACTGAGCCGAAGGCAGACGCTTAACGACTGAGCCACCCAGGTGCCCCTCTTTAGAGTGGGGAGTGGGAGAGGGAGAAGCAGGCTTCCCATGGAGCAGGGAGACCGATGCGGGGCTCGATCCCAGGACCCTGGGATTATGACCTGAGCCGAAGGCAGACGCTGAACGACTGAGCCACCCAGGCGCCCACCTTTTTGTTTTTAGAACAGGAGAAAGTGATTTGAAAATTTCTCTTTGCTCCATATCCAGATTTTGATTTGGGGAAAGTTTGCACTGGGCCCTTCCTTTGGGATGTACAAGAGTGTTTGTAGTGTGTTTTTTCCCACCCCAATAGTACTCTAAATGTGGTGGGGATTCTGGATTTTTAAGGAGAGTCTCCAGAATGATTTTTGGGAGTAGCACTGGTGGAAAATACGAAGAGATTATGCTTTCATGCAGACTCTGGGTCAAAGTCAGAGGGTGGTATCCAGTTGTTTCTGATGTATCATAAGCTTTAATTTAATAAAATTATTAAAATTCTTTTAATTTTTAAAAAATAAGCAATACCACAGATTCTTTGGATTTAGAGAATAGAGCTTAGTTTCTGGAGCCAGAGAACTAACTATTCTTATTAAATCAGTGTACCGCCTTCCATCTGTTTTTTTTTTTTTTCTGAAAGCATAAGAGTGTCTTGTAGAACTGTCAAAACAACAATAGTTTAAATGAAGTTAAATGTTAAGCAAGAAATTACTTCTCAAGAAAGAAATGGTAAGGGAGCAGAAAGTCTTCTGTAGAATTAAGTTTATTAAATAAAACATATTTGAAAAAGTAACCCAGGGCGCCTGGGTGGCTCAGTTGGTTAAGCGACTGCCTTCGGCTCAGGTCATGATCCTGGAGTCCCGGAATCGAGTCCCGCATCGGGCTCCCTG